ATGTATGTATGTATGTATGTATGTATGTATGTATGTATGTATGTATGTATGTATGTATGTATATACATAGTATATATGCATATATATATGGATATATATATGTATTAAATGTAGATGAAATAGACCAGAAGGATTCCTCTTTTAGGGGTTAATTGCCTTGGGCACATACACTGTAGCTCTACTTTATCTGTACTAATGTGGAATAGTACGACAAAATTTCACCGCTTGTTGGTGCCTGTGTTCCGTACATTGTAAGCACACTGTCTGTGAAGTACATGTATGCTGAAGTTTCTATGCACATCACAACGACTTATTCGAAGTCATGGGGTCATAATTTTTCAAAAAGTCAAGGAAATCCCAAACAATTGCCAAATAATTTTTAGATTTTAAAAATCAACTGTGCAATTGTGCTAGTGAGCATGAAGTAGTAGCGATTAGTAGCGCTCTTGCGCTGAACGTCGAGAATTTATTTTCATCAGTGAGAAAACGAATCCCTCTACGGTTTCTTCATTTTTTTCGACTTTTATCTTGGACAAAATGACAGAAAAAAATTCATTCGCTGAAAGTTGCAGGATAGTATTGCTCAACAAAGGCTGAAACGGAAAAAGAAATATTTGCAGCAAAGCACGGAAGTACTAAAACAGAAAAAGGTACCATTGTTGTAGTAAAACAATTTTATCTCAGGGTTATCGGAATCTCGTCAAAGGAATTAATTAATGAAAGCACTGTCAGACACAGGAAGCATATTTACTTGAGTACATGTAAAGAGTCACGCCAAACTCCCTTCGATTCGTTTATTCGTTTTGATGGTGAAAGCATTTGCCAGAAAGCCAAATCAGTACCAGCTTTTTTGCAAGCAACCGTTAAAACGAGAAGCTAATGGTAGTCTTACCAGATGGTGGCTGCTGATGCCAATTGACACCCTCTGAATACTTCCGAGTGCTTCCCTTTTCCGCAGAGAGCGAAAACGGAGCAAGCTTTGACTTTTCACCAGGCAATCAAACAAAATTTACACTTTCAAATTGTCAGTTTCAACTTTTCGAAAATGTTACAAAATCATCTGGAATTTGGAACCGATTGCCCAGGAAAAGGCACAGTAAAATTAGATTGATGACTCTTGAAGATTTGCTGAGAATTTTTTGAAAAATTGACTTTCCTTTTTTTTTTTGATTTATAAAGTTAGCCAAAAATTTTTGGGAGCTGTGACGTTGCTGGTTTCCAGATATA